TTGTTTTGTTTTGTTTTCAATGTTTTCAAAGCAAAACCAGGCTACAATACAAGCCATTAAAGCTATCCCTCACCCATCTGCAGTCTACACTGTCTAAGCTGCATTGATTAATCAATAGCTAATTTACAAAAAAATAGTTATAAAAACATACATAACCAGCAGAGGGCTTTTCAGGAAGTATAAAATCACAATTGAATGCAAACCAGAATGAAATTATAAGCCACAACTGTAGCATTCATTGTATTCACACTTGTTGCCCTTCATTAAAAAAGTAGATGGGACGGACCTTGAATATTTTATTTTGTGGACTGTATAGTGCTGAGCAAGCGTTTCTATATAAAGCCAATTATGCAGTGCTATTACAGGGATCATTGAGTAGCCCGTGGTCATTGTCCTAGAATCACCTGTGTGGTAAATCACAGCTGCTCCTTTGATCCTATCCAGGGCGAAGCAGGGGCTGCAGGGCAAAGGGGACCCCCGGGAGAGCGCGGACGTCCTGGCCCACCAGGAGGAGGCTTTGGTTTTGGCTCCAAAGGACCAGAAGGGATCATAGGACCAGCTGGACCCCGTGGTGAGAGGGGAAATCCTGGTTCACCTGGACCAGCTGGTGCCTCCGGACCACCAGGAATCCCAGGGAATGAAGTGAGGCTTTTTCAGTGATGGTACACTGCCAAAAAAACCCTGGCTAAAAGAGTTTATTAACTGACAGAAACAGTTTCCCGCCTACAGTATCATATAGAACAGTATCTACTTTAAGAATCAATGTTTGCTTTTTATTTTCCTTGTCCACCATATTTTAAACACGAGAGTCGATGCAGCCATTTGTAAATTGAATGTACGAGGCTTACGTTGTCATCCGAGTTAGTTTTAGCGGATGATGGATAAGATATCTTGCAGAATAGTAGATATGAGCATTTTAACTTCACATTGTAACAATTTTTTTCCAGGCTGTTGTAAACTATGATGACTTAAGGTCCTTCATCAGGCAGCAGGTCATAAAGATCTTTGACGGTAAGAGAACTTTTGTAACCAGACATATCTGGAAGCACTGAAACCAGTGTTCGAACTATACCGTGAACTTTGGGGGAGCCCACTTGTTTTTTTTTTTATAACGGGGGAGTTTCGTGCGCTTGCGCGTGCCTCAAAAGAGGGCTTACAATGTCTTACAAAGATACATAACAGCTACAAGTGTATGCACTACTTGCTTTATGCAAGCACTATATAGGATAAATCACTATACAGGATTTACCCTATTATACTTTATCGACACGAATTGATAGGTGAAACAACAAATAGTCTATAAACAAAGCATCAGGCTGTCTTTGAGTTCACATGAGCAACGGTTAAAGTTACTCGTCGTCAGGCTACAGAAGAATACCATAATTCCTCCGTTCAATTAGGCCTAAGACATCGAAAGTCACGCAGACCTATAACAACCCAGCCACAACACATAATTGCGAATAACATGCCTTACCTTAACACAGAATCGACAAGAGTCCAACGTTTATATTTTTCTACGAATCTTTGAGTTAACATGTACTAAACATGAGTGGAATTTGCACCGCAGCGCCCCCACACCTTGATGCTCATGACAAGAATAGCATGTATAGTTATCTTTATTGAAGTGAATTAGGTTTAAATCGCCGTCATGCATGAATGATATTTTTGCAATTTAACACATAATAATCCACGATGATCACATTACACAAATCTGAAATTGCACGTCAAAATAACACTATTGTCAATATTTTTTGAGACCCCCCAAAATTTCACAAATCACGTTTTCAGGGGAGCCCATGTCTTATTAAGGGGAGCCGAGCTCCCCCTAGCTCCCCCGTAGTTCGCGCCCTGACTGAAACTTTATTTCTAGATGGTTTATTTCAAACAGAAAGTGTCTTAGGATGATTTAATTTCTTCCCCAGCCCTCCACAAAAGATATTGGTTTCTTTTTGATACATCACAACAGTCTTTAAGGCACTTTAGTGTCTATTAAAGCAATATTCTGAGTTAAATACAAGTTAAAATACACATAACAAGTTAAAATCAGTTTGTAAAAGAAAAAAAATTGTGGACAGTTTTGCACTTATAATGGTAGTCTATGGGGCAGGCGTACAATTTTTTTATTATTATTTATTTAGGTTGGTTTTCAAAGTTAATTTGTTCCTGCAGAGCGTATGGGCTACTACATGTCCCGAATGCAGATGCCTGTGGAGATGGTTGCGTCCCCTGGTCGACCAGGACCCCCAGGGAAAGATGGAAGTCCAGGCATCACAGGTCCCCCAGGGATACCGGGCCGCTCTGGGCAGATTGGCCGCGAAGGAAGGCAGGGACCCATGGGTCCACCTGGTAAGAGGAACTAATGTGCTAAGGTTTCCTACAGCAGTCCAGAGTTCCATTTGCCCAGTCTTCCACAAGGTTGCTTTCATATGTGTCCCCAGGTGCCCCTGGTGTAAAGGGAGAAAAAGGAGATAATGGTGTTGGAGAGATGGGAGACACTGGCCCTCCGGGTGCTCCAGGTCTGACTCCCAAGTTTTCAAAGCCAATTTTAAAGTGGAAGTCATTTTGCCAACTTTGTAATGTTTATTCTACGGTAATCTCTTTCTCATTCCTTCCGTTCCTCTCAGGTGTTCCTGGTCCTCCTGGTTACAGTAAGATGGGACCACCAGGTCCTTCTGGTCAGCAGGGCATCCCTGGTATTCCTGGACCTCCAGGACCATCTGGACCAAAGGGCAAGGATGGTCGGTGTCACCCGTCAGACTGTATGAGTATGCCTGTGGGGTACAATCCCAAGGGCCCAGCTTCCAAAGGTCCCATGTACTAGAAAATGGTTTAAGAGAAATAAAAGATGGAGGATGGTACCCACTGATTGACAGTCTCACGGTTACCTGCCTGTACCTGCTAAGGCTTCTGAGAAGATCCATGGAGAACCAAAGGATTAATGTAATTTCCTTTCCACATGATGCAATACCAAAACACTGGTTCACCACCAATGGGGACTTTTCTAAGTTATTGTCTGCTGATGAACCGGTGAAGAAAGGCTAAGCATTATTTAACACCACAACAATCAGTGCGACTTCCCAAACTTGAGTGCCTTAACCCCTGAATACTGTCCCATAATGCCATAATTTTTGAGTTTGTGTTTTACAATTATAGTAAATTGAAGACTTCTAGATCCCTGGACATATAAGGTGTTGACAGTCATTATAGGTACCCAGATTTATTCAACGTTCAAGATTTTTAATTTCTTTACCAGGCAAAATATTTTGGTTTCCGATTGACATTTCACACCAGTCTTCAAGGTCCTTTATTAACTGTTAAAGCAATATTCTGAGTTAAATACAAGTTAAAATCATCCATGCTGTTGATTAATGCAGGAATTATTTTGACTCATACCTCATTTTGTGAAAATGTTGACAGTTTTGCACTTATAATGGAATTCTATAGGGCAAGCGTTCAACATTATTATTTTTTTTTTTTATTTTCTTTTTTGCAAATTGAGGTATGAATCAAATTTTCTGCTGAAAATGCCACAGATGCTGTTGCTAGGGCTTGTATTGAATATGTAATATTTCTTTAATAATATCTTTGTGATGGGGTCATTTTGGCAGCTGTTAATTTTGTTATTTAACTGCTTTAGCAAAGACAATGTGGCATAAATATCTATCTGTTTCCAGTGAATAATTCCTTCCACAGTGTGAGCTGTTTAATATAAAATAGTTTGAGGTTATCATTAGGCATAGATACAGTTACCTAATTAATTATGTTTATTATTCAAAATGAACTTCCCCAAGGGCTTGTGTTGTACATATTCATATTTATATGTAATGGCTTTTTGTACTTTTTTAAAAAATCATCAGCATGGCAGCCCTTTTTATGGTCGTCTCAGATATTTTGGAATAATTTTATAAGCTCTAAATAAATGGATGTTTTGTAAAGGTAAGTTTTACATGCAATTTTGGGTTAGAATGCAATTTTGTGATGTATCATGGGACGGAAAATAATTTTATTTTTATAAGAATATTTCTGTGACACCTATTTCTCGAGCTCTGTGATGACATCTCCTCCACTACCACTCTGGACTCTTAAACTTGAATTTACTTTGATATACTGTACCACTTGCAGCTGAACCATCATGTGCTTCTAGAACACTCTAATCTTAAATATGCTTTGCCAGTCATCCTAAACATCCAAACCCAACCTTCTCAGTTCAGTCATCTCTAAAGCAAACAGCATCTCACTGATTCTCTGCTGCGTCAGCCAGTCTGATGCTTTTACACTCTGCACTTTATCCTCTCGTTGTCACTCCCTCGGTCTGTATGTGTGTGTGAGAGTGTGAAGATAGCGAGAAAGACTCTGTATCTATATTGGGAGGATAGCTGAAAAGTTTTTTTTTTTCAAATTATGCAGTTTTCATGAAGTGAACGTTACGAGCATGCCGATTTCAGATTGGCCTTTCAACCTTTTATTTATCCAAGTTTTAAAAAATCTCCCCCATCATCATGCATCTCATCATAGCGCTATTTGTAAGCAAAGTCATTTGTGTGCAAATTTTTTTCTTTAAAGAAACTTGAGAAGCAATAAAAGTTTTGAAAGCAGAGTTCTCTATGGACTCGTTCACTTGTCAGTCCCTAAACAACATACATACATACATACATACATATATATATATATATATATATATATATATATACATACATACATATATATACATACATACATA